TATTTAAAAAAAGAAAGAAAATGGTTGTCTTCTGCAATTGGAACAGGTTTTTTGAATGGTTTCATGGACTACGGTTCTACGACACCTCAGAGTGATGCTTCCTTAAAGTCTCCGAGAAAACAGGCCCAAGAGATAGAGACAAAAAAGTTTTGTGGCCGCTAGACAGTCCGGGGTTGTGCTCCAGAAAGAATGACTAACAAACGACACCAACCCAACAATGGTTATAAATGCCTACTTTAAACATGTTAGTGAACATGTTTCTTTGCTTGTTTCCCAGCCGAGATTCGAGCAATTCCATAATATACCAAGGTGTCCTTTGGCGAGGTTATTGGACTATTTAAAAGCTGGGAACGTCCAAACAGGCCGGAAAATTCTTTTTTTGAATATATGGAAAGCAATTTCCATTTTTTTCCCTTGGTGCTGGTGGGGGGGGGGGAGAACCCATAAGTTTGCTACTGTGAAAAGCAGACTGAACATAGGAAAGACCACTGAAAGGGAATAATGGGAAATAAACATGTCAGGGGAGGCTCCAGTTTACAGACAGCATCATTCATTCCATGAACAGTTAAGATTTGAGTCCAGTTGCACTTTAGAGACCAACGGGAGTTTCAGGTTGTAAGCTTTGAAGAGTCAAAGCTCCAGTAAGGTCGCCTCCATAATTGAGAGGAGATGGATGGAGGGTAACGGCAGGCTCTCAGTTAATTACACGCAGCATGCCACAATTAAGGACACACCATCCCGCCCTGACCTCGATAGCCCAGGCAAACTCGATCTCATCAGATCTCGGAAGCTGAGCAGGGTCAACTCTCTGGCAAGTACTTGGATGGGAGACCTCCTTGGAATACCAGCAGTCGGGAGGCGGGGGCAGGCTTGGTGTAGTGGTTAAGTGTGCGGACTCTAATCTGGGAGAACCGGGCTTGATTCCCCACTCCTCCACTTGCACCTGCTGATGTGACCTTGGGTCAGTCACAAGCTCTGGCACAGCTGTCCTTGAAAATGGGCAGTTTGTGTCAGAGTTCTCTCAGCCCCACCCACCTCACAGGATGCCTGTTGTGGGGAGGGGGAGGGAAAGGAGTTTGTAAGCCACTCTGAGACCCCAAGTGAAGGGCGGGGTATAAATCCAATCTCTTCTTCTTCTTCTTCTTTACTCAGCCACCTCCCTGAATATCCTCTAGGCCCCCAGTAGGGGTTGGTCCGTCACCAGAGGTCACCATGACTTCCAGGTGCACACACAGACGGTCACCAGAGGTCGCCATGACTTCCACGTGCACACACACATATGAATTTTTTTTAAAAAGGATAGATCTGCCCCTCAGTCATAATTACTGAGATAATTATCTTCTTCACTGTGTATCCCCCACCCCAGAATTAAACCCAAACAAAAGGTAACCATATAACCTAAGTTTGTTATTCCTGTTTGGTCCCTGAATCTGTTAAACATCTTCACTATGCTCTACGCTGATTTCTGCTCACCCTCTGCCTATCTGTATGGACTGGTAATTTCCATTTCATTGTACCTGAAGCAGCATGTGCACACACAAAAGCTTATACCTTGAATAAAACTTTGTTCGCCTTAAAAGTGCCAGTGGACTCACAACGTTGTTCTGCTGCTTCTGACCAACAGGGTTACCCCTCTGAAACTATCATTCAGAGAAGGAACTCAAATGAGGCAAGGGAGAAATTCTAAATATGCAAGTAAGCCCTTATTACAATTCACACATCAGGAAGCGAGAGGGTGGGA